CGCTGAACACAGTGGAAAGTTTCCATTCAAGCATTGGTGGCTCTTCCTAGGGCAGGCACTGCCTGTCTAAGAGGCATAGGCAGTATAAGGCCAGGGCTAATGGGGCTTAGCCCGCCCAAATGTGGGGCAGTGGGTAGGGCCACTGGGCAGCCCGGCCACAGGCTCTGGGCAGCTGCAGCAGGGGTGGGGAGGGGTGCGCACACAGCCAGGATCACAGCCCCACATATGGATTACTGTCCAGCAGGTGGGCAAGTATCAATCTACTCTGTAAAAGGGAAGGAGCTGGGGTGGGGGGGAGATTAAGGCTTCCACATTGAGGGAGGAAGCGGGGCAGAGGTAGGGACTGGGTTGAATGGGGCCCTGGGGCTGGGCCAGGTTGTGGGATACTCAGAGCCCAGGCAGCTTGTCCAGGGACACGTTGCGGGGGGGGCTCTGCCACTGTGCAGACCCCAGGAGAGGCTTGGGGGATACGTGCCCCCCTAATCTGTGCACAGGGCAGAGGCGGGCTGCCACTGTACGCTGAGCTCTGCTGCCACTGCCTCTGGAGCTGTACAAACTCATGTGCCTGCCGCCTCTGGGCTGCGCTGTGTCCCCTGCCTGCCCAGCTGTGGGATACACATGGCGTCGCTCAGCTCTGGAGGCAGCAGCAGCAGCAGGGCACAGAGCCCAGTGCACAGCGGCAGCTTGCCTCTGCCCTGAGCACAGATCAGGCGGGCACGTACCCCCTGGGCCCCCCCTGAGGTGTGCACAGTGATGGGAGCCCCCTCCACCCCATGCCCCTGGATGAGCCTCCCAGGCTCCAACCCTCCCACAAGCCACCCTCACCGTGGGGGCCTTGATCTGCCCCCACCCACTAGTCTTTCCCTGTCCCCCCACCCCTTCCCCCACAGACTTACCTGCTAGGCTGGGAGGGGGGTGCGCATGGTCAGCCCTCCCCACAATAATTTTTTCTCCCTCTGCCTATGCTAAGAAGCCTGCCTTGCTCTCATTAAAATCTCCCCATTTCCTCCCCTTGCCCCTGCAGCCCTTCCTCTCTGCCCTGCCTTGCCCAGGTGCCTTAGAGAAGTATCATGATCATGAGATCTGGTAGACTCCCTGAGTACAGGGGCCAGGACTATGGTGCTGAGCTTGTGGAGTGCCCCAGCATAGCAGAGCTGTGGCCCCTCCATGCTATCCCAGTACAAATCACCTAATTGATTTCAAAGAGTGAGAGCCCAGAGCCCTGAAGCTGCCTGGGTTTGAAGGCTGCCAACTCAGAGGCAGGTAGAAATGTCACTCATCTGCAGCAGTAGCAGTGCTTCCAGCCTCAGGCTGCAGAGCCCACATTCCCTTAGATCCACTCTACAAACTGGATGTATTGGAAGGTACTGACACTGAGGGTGCAGACGGAAGTGACAGCTTTCAGCCAATATGCCTGAAAGCTGTTCATAGCTGTGACCAAACACAAGCGCATGGCTGCAGACAGCTTAAAAAATGGCCAATTGAGTGAAAATCAGACCCTTCATTGCAGGAGGTATCCGATAAAGATGTTTCAAAATGTAGCATCTGTTGTTACTTGTGTCTGCAGAGCTCCCAGCCTGGAGGAGGGAGTTCAGTCTCAGGGCTTTTCAGCCCCCTCCCCCCACCCCCAAGGGTGGGGTGAGTGTATTGGACCTTCTCCCTCACGGTGGGGGAGGGCTCTAATTCACACACCCCACCCTTCAGCATCAGCTGGGGAGCCCCAAGAACGAACTCCCTCCGCAGCCTTTCCCTGCTCCCATTCTGAAAACAGCAAGCACTGGCAGAGAGCCCTGGCCATTGCTATGGGAACCTGGCTGCAGGCTTCTAACCAGCAGCTAGGTTCTCCTCCTCCCTGAAACCAACAGTGAACTTCTGTTTGGACTGGGGTAACATTGTAAATCAGAACACTTTGCAGAAATCTTTCTGAGTTACAGCTGGGAGATGCACTTCTGTCTGCACCCAGTGAGCTCATCTGGAAGCAGTAGGTGCAGCTATAAGTGCAACTCCCAGGCCTAACTCGTGGTGTTTTACAGAAAGCGCCATGAGTTAGATCTATCCTCCCAAATCAACAGACATTAGCTATTGGGTCAGGAAGGTGGGGGGGATTGAGCTGCGATTTGGAACTGATCCAGGGCAAGAGGCCCTAA